ACCCTCACCTATTTGCTGTTCTGCCTTGCAAGACCAAATGACTGGGGAAAGGCTTGCCAGCTGCAGATTTTAAATTGGCCATAACAGCTGAGGAGTCTGGCTACACAGGATGGCTATGGCGCCTCACCCCAATGCCATTTGAATGGTCATTTCAACCCCAAAATACAGAAGAAGCAAGAACCACCCAATGGTCCCCCCAGGCCCAACCCAAGTATCCAAGTGGTGCAAATACCAAAAAGCTTCGGCAATGCTTGCTTTGGTTTGCTGGTGCTAATATGCTAGTTTCTCCCTCCCTCTTACTTCATGTCTTTTTTTTTTTGGGGGGGGGAGGGTCTACAGGATGTTCAGGGTCTCAATACTAGATGGGACTCTTAGTGACCCACCTGTTCACAGCCTCCCAAGAGCTACTTTGGGTCTTAACCTCTCTCTTCCCTTCTGCCTCTAGCAAATCCTGTCCTGCTACTGTTTCTAAGGTTTCCTTTTTAAAAAGTTTATTGGTAAAACACAGTCATTCATGACCACATGTGGCACCAGTTCCTTTTTCAGGTGGCATCTCAGTTAACTTGAATGAGCCAAAACACAGGTGTGCTATCTTCTCACTGTCTCTTTCAGGTAATTGAGGCAGGCAGACTACTATATGCTTTCTTCCAAAGGTCTCCAGAGACCCTAACCGCTGCTAGAGGAAAGAGGCTTCTTTTTCACTCAGTCAGGGCATACCACGAAGTCTTAGGCCCAGCCTTCAGAGGGGACACACTGTGCTGTTACCTGTCTGTATTGGCTGCCTCTTATCCTCTACCCTGTGGGCCAAGATCGGCAATGCTTAAGTTATTTCTTTACTGCTCTCTGATACCCCAGGTCAGAATTAGCTAAGTGGCTCAGCATCCATTCAAGTCATAGAGCATGCAGGCACTTTGGCTCAGTTTCCTTTGCATTTTGACTGAGAACTGAGAAGCCCTGGCTGGATCACCACCACACTGTGTGACCTTAGGCTAACACCTGAACTGCTACTGGCCAGTGTCCTCACCTGCTCACCGAGGTAAGCAGACTGGGCTCTGTAGGACTGTGGTGGACTGGGTGTGGTGGCACACGCCTGTAATCCCAGTGCTGGGGAGGCTGAAAACAGGAGGATCACTAAGAGTCTAAGCTGCATAGTGAGACCTTGTACCAAACACTTTAAAAAAAAAAGATTAATAGGATAATGTACTTAGCACAATGATCATATGTAGTAAATAACATTAGCTATTATCATGACATTGGCCAGGTGATTCATGCCCATAATACCAACATTCAGAGGCTCAGGCAGGAGGATCACAAGTTTGAGCCAACTCTGAGCAATTTAGTAAGATCCTGTCTTGAAAGTATTTTTCAAAATATTTCAAAAGGGCTGGGGATGTAAAACCTCTGGGTTCAATTGCTAGTTCTGCAAAAAAATTATAGTATATTTACAGAGAGAGAGAGAGAGAGAGAGAGAGAGAGAGAGAGAGAGAGAGAGAGATTGAAATAAATTGGAAGTGTCCCCAACATAAAATCCTGTGAGGTGGAGGCTGAGCCAAAGGCCAAGCCAAAATTAGACCCCAGCTGTCCTAGGTGGCTGTCAAACCTTGTTCACACATGGCTTTCAATTTGCAGAGCATATGTCACCTCAACACTGAACACGGCAATTCCATGAGCATGTCTCCCACTACTCTGCATTTCAATGAGTAATGATGGGGCAGACGCCCTTAGGAAGCCTCCTCAAGCCTGTCCTGCACCCTGGCTCCTCCCACTTCTGCTGAAGTACCCGATGACCAAGAGCAGCATAGTGGCCTACATGCCACCATTTCTGCTTCCTAGAGCCTGTCACAGGGACATTCAGATGGGGGAGAGAATCCACTGGCCGTTAAATCCTTCCAGGAAGTTGGCTCCTTTAGCCCCAAGTCCTCTTTTAATTGAAAATTTTGAGATACTGTAGATTCCCATGCAATGATTCAAAACAGACGTCCTATGTCCCCTTTCCCCAACTTCTCCCAATGGCCAGCCACATCTCGCAAAATTGCAGTATGCGTTCCCTCTCAGCATACTGCTATTGAGATGACCCACCAACTGCAGCGATGTTTTTCTTGTGCCCACTTGGGGGGTTGTGAGCCGCGCTTGGTCCTACTCCCTTTTCGCAAGTGTAGTTCCATGTGCCCACCATCAGCACCAAGATCCCCAAGCACCGTGAGGCCCTCTCCAGCTGCACACCACCCCCACCCCTAGCCCCTGACAGCTATTATTCTGTTCTCTTATATATAAGTGCAATTATACAGCATGCAATCTTTGGGAATGGGATCTTCCCCCGCTTTGGTGACAGCGAATGAACTCAGGTTCTTGCACCTATCTGTAGTTTACCCCTTTTCATCACTGACAGCAATCCATGGCAGGCCACAGATGGCTCAGACAGTCATTCAGTGAGGACATTTGTGTCGCCTCAGTTGGGGACATCATAGAGCTGCCTTGCACACTCGTGTCCTCCTTTCTCATCGCTAACTGGTCCAGATGCTCCCTTTGCCCTGCTGTGGCCATCATGACTGTCCCCATGCCGTCACTTCCACACCAAGTCTAGCAGCTCTCGCTAAGCCAGCCCTATGCCTCCACGCAGACACTATCACTAGCCAGCACCTCTAAGCTTCTCCCCTTAGAGCAGCAAAGAACAGCAGGCACGAGCCTGGCAACCACACAGCTGAGACTCAGGCTACAGAAGCAGAACTTCCAAAGGCCACTTCACCCTGACTGTTTCACAAGCACTGTAAGTTTCTTTGCCAGCAGCTGTGGTAGCAATGCAATTCAAAGGTTAAAGGCAGGAACTCCGGTACCACGCTGTCTGGAGTACTGACCCCACCACTGTGGCTGTGTCACCTCGGGCAGGTTCACTTCTTTCCTCTGTGCTTCAGTTCTTCCACTTGCGAGGGGGCATGTTAATTGCCCTAATTGAGAGGATTAGATACATGTAAGTAATCATGTGACACATCTTTAGAACAGAATTGAGCACCGTGCTCATCAAACATCAGTTCACATGGTTATGAAGATTTAAACTGCGACAAGTGTTATGAGACTGAATTTATAGACAATAAAATTGAATTTAAGGAAGGACATCACTTGCTTGTGGTCACAGGTGGAAAGTGAGTGGACATTCACTTACAAACTCTTTGTCATAAACTGGGGTCGTATTGGCTTGCCTCCCAGGGCAGCTGTGATGACAGAGAAGGGTGCGTTGTGCGGCATTTAGTATTCAAACTGCTCCATGCATAGTAGTTCCGCTTTTAGCTACTGCTGGTAGATGAACAGTTGATGACTCTGTAGTTCTGAATACAGCAGGAACTGACCCCTTTTGATACAAACCACCGAACAGAAGCGGCACTTCGAGGGTACCGATGCATCTGCAGACAGGCTGTGCAGATCCAACGGCAATCACAGCCAGCCTGGGACAGGCCCCGCCCTCCGCCACAATGCACCGCAACACAGCTGCCTCACTGTCCTTCCTCACAGGGTGCCCACTGCACCTCCGAGAACACACAGCCAGAGGCTGCAGGAAGGACTCCTCTCCACGGACCAGGAGCCTCGGTCTCCAGTGCCTGGGAGGTTGTGGCCTCTCCACACACGTGCAGAACCTAGGGGAATTTTTGTGTAATGAAGAGGCCAATCACAAAGCCTGACCCTGAGAGCAGCTGTGACTTCAGAGAGTCACTGTCTGATGCCAAGAGCGCCTTTCAGCTGCGTTCTCTGCTGGCAGCACAGCACCAGGCCATCCTTCTTCTTTCTCATTTACTCCTTTACTTCCCTCCTTTCTGCTTCCCTTATCTTCTTTTTTTTCTTTCAGCCAGCCAACAAATACTTCCTACCATGTATCCCACATTATGCCAGAAGCTGGGAATTCAATGGTGAGCAAGAGAGGTACAGAAGAAAGGCCAAGTGTTTGGATTTACTACATTTGAAACTTGTGTTTCAGCACATGAGCTGATGCCTGCAGTTAGAATTACCCTGAACAATCAGTGGGAGAGGTAAAGAAAGATCTAGGCATACTAAGCACTCAAGCCCTTCTTGTTTTTGTTTTCATTTTTTCTGTATTTTTTAGGGAAGGGTCTACAGGGTGTTCAGGGTTTCACTACTGTTCTAGTAGTAGTAGTGATCCACCTGCTTACCCTCCTAAGTGCTGGGATTACAGGCCCCACCACGCCCAGTCTCAATTGCTGTCTCAGCACTCCCCAGTCGCGGGGTGGCACAGCAGGCCTGGGGATCAAACCCCCGGCCCCTGCACCTGCTTGCAGGCGCTTTAATCCAATGAGCTATTTGGCCAGCCCAAGCTCTTCAATTCTGACCATGAGCAACTACATTATTATGTGAACAATTCAGATTTAAACAAGTTCAGTGAGATTAGTTGGCAGATGTTCTGTGACAAACCGTATTTATTTCAGTTACAAATGTGTGTTAAAGAGTCAACCATATTGCTGCACTAGCAGTCAGGAAAACGACTTACACTTTAGAAACGACTTACACTTTGAAGGCACAGCAAAGGCCAATGTGTATAGAAAAAGACAAATGTGGTACGGACCAACAGAAACACGGTGGTGCCCTTAATGTACAAAAGCCAGCCACTTAGAGGCATAAAGGGCGATCTGTTAGGGTGAAGGGATCCCAGTACACTGCCTATGCTTTGACATCAAAGGAAAGCAGGCTGAGAGCACGTGTGGGTTGCTTTTTTAAATTTCCTGCTGGCCCTGCTGGGGAAATAGCTGGACATGAAGATGATCGGAATCAGGTCAGACAATCTGGTAACAGCCAGGAAGGGGCCTCACATGATGACAGGTGATGGGATGATTCCAGGAAGGGGCCTCACATGAACCTGGACAGGTGATGGGATGATTCCAGGAAGGGG